GTATATGTCATAATATATGTCTTAGTATCTGATAAAGCTAGTATTTATATCTTGGTCCTCTTTGAGAATATCTTCTTGGGACCTGGTGAGATGGCTCAATGGGTAAAGGCATTTGCTGCCAAGCCTGATGACATGAGTCTAATACTCAGGACCTGCAGAGTGGAAGGAGAGAACCAGCTACTGAAAGTTGTCATCTAACCTCTACACATGCATTGTGTACATAAGCACCCACACACATAAACATACAAATAAATGTAATATATACCCATATATATATATCACCTCTATTTTCATGTTCCTTCTTTCTTTGGCGAGACTACCTCTCACACTGTAACCTAGGTTGGCCTTGAACTCAGAACAATTATCTCGCCTTGGCATCCTGAATGTTGGTATGACAGGCATGCACCATCATGTCTGGCTTTGACTGTCCTGATATAGTCGATTTTTAAATACACTTTGAGATTTGGTTTGCAAACATTTTACTGGCAATTTTGTTATCAGTTACTGAGTGATGCTGACCTATAGTTTTCAATCTAGTTTTGCCTTTGACTGATTTTTATCAAAATAGCTCTGTCTTCATAGAATAAGCATGCTATCTTTTCCCACTTTCTGGAAAATATTATATAAAATTTAAATGATTTTCACTCTTTATTAGTTGTTAGCCTAGCCTTTAATTGCTGAGCTAGCTCTTCAGCCCATGTACCCACATCTCCTGTATACTTTAAAAGCTTTGTGCAAACTTGACTTTATGGTTTTTGGTTTTTTCTAAGAAAGAGTCTTAAAATATAGCCCAGGCTGGCCTTGAACTTGTGATCTTATTTTAGCCTACCAACTCTTGGGACTATAGGCCCTATGCTATGCCACCATTCCTAGTTATAGTATCATTTTCTTTCTTTTTTTATTTATTTGTTTATTTTATTTATTTTTTTGAGACAGGGTTTCTCTTTGTACTCTGACTATCCTGAAACTTGTTTATCCTATAAATCCGGCTGGCCTCAAACTCACAGAAATCCACCTGCCTCTACCTCTGCAGTGCTGGGACTAAAGGAGGCCAGAGGAGGGCATCAAACCCCTCTGGAGCTGGTGTTTGACAGTTGAGTCATTATTCGCTGTGGACAGTAGCCAGGTTCTCTGCAAGAACAGCAAGTGCTCTTACCTACTAAGCCATCTCTCTAGCCCCTATGAGCCATTCTTTTTTTTTTTTAAGTTTTTTTTTATTTTTTAAATATTAGTCTATTAACTTTGTATCCTAGCTGTAGCCCACTCCCTCATTCCTTCCCAATCCCACCCTCCCCATTCTTTTTTTTTTTTCAATTGATTCATTATGTATTTAGTGTTTTGCTTAAATGTACTCCTGCATGCCAGAAGAGGGCATCAGATCTCACTATAGATGTTTGTGAGCCACTGTGTGGTTGCTGGGAATTGAACTCAGGACCTTTGGTAGAAGAGCCAGTGCTCTTAACCTCTGAGCTGTCTCTCCAGCCCCAAGATAGATTTATTTATTTATTATTTATACAATGTTCTGCCTGCATGTGTGTCAGCAAGCCAGAAGAGGGCGCCAGATATCATTATAGATGGTTGGGAGCCAACACGTGGTTGCTGCAGTGAGCCATTCTTAAAACTTCTCCTTTCACACCTTGCATCCAATCCACTAGCAAATATTGTTCACTCTATCTTTAAATTCAGAGCCCAGCTGCTTCTGCTTGGTCTAAATCAACGTCACTGTTCACCTGAATACTCATATAATAGTCTTTGATTGAACTTATTGCTTCTGTCTGCAAGCTCTTACTATAGTCGTTTTAAAAAAATGTTTATACCCAGGTGTGGTGTTGTACTTTAATTCCAACACTGGGGAGACAGAGGCGGGTAGATCTCTGTGAGTTAGATAGCCCACTCTACAGAGTTCCAGGATAGCCAGAACCATATAGTGAGATCCTGTCACAAAAAAATATTATGCTGATTACAATTCTTTGGCGGGGGGAGGTGTTGATCGACTTGACAAAAGCTAGTATGATCTGGACATAGGGAACTTCAATTGAGAAAATGACCTAATTATATTGTCTGCAAGTAAATCTGTGGTGTTTTCTTTCCAAAAACTTATGTGTTTGAGTTGTTTTGCCTGCATGTATGTACATGCACCACGGGCATGCCCGGTGCCACATGGCCCACTCAGTTCTCTGAAACCAGGTATGGATGGCTATGGGTGCTGGGAATCGAACCCAGGTCCTCTGCAAGAGCAACAAGTGTTCTTAAATGCTGAGTCGGCCCTCCAGCCCTAAGGTTATTTTCTTGGTTAGTGACTGTTGTGGGAGGCCCAGCCCACTGTGGGTGCTACAACTGCTGAGCAAGCCGTCTGGAAGGTATTTAATATGAGCCCCAGGGAGAAAGGTCAGTGAGCAGCATTCCTCAAGCCTGTGCTCAGTTCCTTCAGGACAGACTGATCAGGACATGTAAGCCAAATAAGAGCTTCCCTCAATCTTGTTAGGACCAGTGTTTTATCACGGCAAAAGAAGGCAAACTAGTGAGAGAACCAGGCTTGACACCCTCAAGTCACCAGGAACTAGTGACCCCCCCCCCCAAGTCATCAGTCCTAGGAACTAGGCCATAGAGTTCCCTACCCAAGGAAAAGCCTGAGGTAACCACAAGAATGGGAAGGTATCTTATCTCGGGGTGGGGCATCTGTGCTGGGCAGCCCACCAGAGAACATTGTAGCACAGAAAATACCTAACATTCCTGAGGTCTTTAGATACATCGCTCAATGTTTAGCTCTGTTAGTTAGCCAATCACTTTGTAACAAGCTTGCCCTTGCTGAATTGACATCCAGTCTTCCCGGTTCTTGTTCAAACCCCAATAAAAATCCTGCCCGTGCAGTTGCTGGGGCTCTCCTCTCCGATCCACTGCGTTGGTGACGGTGGAGAGGCCACCGAGCTTAAGCTCCTTGCTCTTGCATATGTGGTCTGGCTCCTGGTGGTCTTTGGAGACCTTGAGATCTGGGCCTAAATCTAGGACAGGTGATTTAAGGCAAAGCAAGACTAGATCTCAGATTACTTCTCATTTCTCCTTCCTTGTTACCTTCTTTTCTAATATTTTTCTCTCCTTCTCCCCAATACTCTGATCAACACATACCCCTTGGTGGCTTGGATTTCACTCTGTAGCCCAGATTGCCTTTGAACCTAAGATACTCCTGTCATAGCCTTCCAAGTGCTAGACTACAAGCATGAACCACCGTGCTGCACTGTCTCCAGAAAAGTGATGGGATCAGAATGACATGCACTTGTATCTTATATTCCTTTCTCTCACAGGTCTGTCTTACGATGCAAGGTCTTATGAATTTCAATTCTCCTGCCTCAGCCTCCTGCATGATGGGATTACAGGTATGCACCATACTTCTGGCTTTACCTTAACTTGCCCCTTGAAAGGTTTCTGTAAGGACTTTTTGTTTGTTTTATTTTGAGACACGGTCTACTGTCAGTTCTGGCTATCCTGGCATTCCCTAGGTAGAAGATGCTGGCTGATCCAACTCAGGAATCACCTGCCTTGCCTCCTAAGTGTTGAGATTAAAGGTGTGCACCGCCACCACCACCTCGGGACACAGGGTCTCTCACACTGTAGCCCAGGCTAACAATCCTCCTGCCTCAGCCTCCTGGCTTACAAGTGACCAGCTAAATCCGTTAATTTCAAATTGTCCTCATCTGCCTTCGTTCTACTTAATAGTTTTCTTCTGTTAACTGAGATTCACGTACTCAAAACATAACTCAACCACTACGTGCAGAAACCGTGGCCAAAAGTCTGGTCCCGTAGCACAGCTCTGAAAGTTCAACGGTAGAAAACTTAAGAAGTTTGACCAATACACTCGCCCCTTTATCACGTGGGGTTTTGTTCTGTTTCCTTTTGAGAAAGGTTCTCGCGTAGTCCTGACTGGCTTGGCACTTGCTATGTACCTGAGGCTGGTTTTGAACTCCTGATCCTCCCGCCTCTAACTCCAAGGCGCAAGGAGAGGAGGCTCCTTTACTTTTAAACTTCTCCTCTGCTCTTTAAAAAGATGAGTGGTTGAACTACCCAAATTATCTCTACCGCTAACTTCCCGTCACGTTTCCCTCCTCTCTCATTTCTCCGCACATTTTCTTTCTGTCTTCTCGCCTTCCACTAAAGCTCGTGTCGCCATAGCAATTCCGTGTCTCTTTCCCCTTCTCTCCTGCAGCTCCGGGCGACCCGGCTACCTAGGACCTCCTCCGAGCTGGGGTTTTCTCTGCACCCTGCATCCATCGCTCCTGCACCAATAAAGCTGTATCGACAGAGCGTGATACACGCCGTCCTCGGGCGTACAGCGGTCGGAAAACGGAAGCAGGCCACAGCCACCCGGAACCCGCCTCTCGAGAGCGGAAGTGCAGCCGAAAGCTGATCATAGAAGGGAGCGGCTAGAGCGGCCGGGCCGGGAGGTGGCAGGAAAGGCTGGGAGAGGCTGCCGGAGGTGACGGAGCGGCCGCCCCGCCCCGCGCGCTGGAAGACCCGGCTTCCAGGTAGCTGTCGGTCGCAGTCTGTCCCAGGGTACGACCCGGCCCTGGGCCCGGGCTGGCGCTCCCGGGGCTGCGTCTTTAAGGGAGGGGGTGGAGTCACGAGTGAGGTTCGTGGAGGTGAGGTCACGTGGTTGCGGGCACGTGCGGGACACGAGTTGAGAGCTGGGGGTGCGTCTGAGGGTGCGTCGTCGTTGGGCTGGACACCATGCGCCGCCGCTCCCCTCACCGCCTCCTCTGTCTTGGGGCTCAATGGGGTGCTCATGGTGGGGCTCTGGCCTAGGCCCCGGATTGGGGAAGAGAGTGGGCGTGGCGGCCAGGATGTGGGCGGCTTCAAGGAACCGGAGATCTGGTTTTTAGCCCTTTTGACCTGACTTCTCACTGCAGAAGTGGCCTAGTCCCTCCTGAGTGCAGTTCCCTGCCCCTGAGCTGACCATGGTGACAGGGTTCGGGGACCTTTAGTTTCACGTTCCTCTTTCCTTGCAGCTTCAAACAACTTGAGACCAGAGCCCAGCACCTCGGTGCAGCCATGAGTGCGGAGGTGAAGGTGACAGGGCAGAACCAGGAGCAATTTCTGCTCCTTGCCAAGTCGGCTAAGGGGGCAGCACTGGCCACACTCATCCACCAGGTGCTGGAGGCCCCTGGTGTCTACGTGTTTGGGGAGCTACTGGATATGCCCAATGTTAGAGAGGTGGGTTGCTTGCCTGTGTAGTCCACAGGTAACCTTGGAGCCGAAGTTTCCTCTAAGAACGGCTGGCCTCATTTTGTAATCAGTGTGACTCAGGTGAACAGAGTAATGATAGATAATTAACTGTCGACTTGAAAAAAAAGTGAGCAATCAAATAAAGGTCTTCATTTCTCTTTGAAGATAAGGGATCTGTAAACTTAGTGCTCCCTCTTGGCACAGACTTTTTGAGACAGGGTTTCGCTTTGTAGCCTTGGCTGCCCTAAACTAGTAGTAGTAGTCTTCGTCTGGGCTGCCTTTGAGCTTGTGCAATCCTTCTGCTTATGCGTTGGACAGCATTTTTCTTTTTTCTTTTTTTAATTTAAGAATATGGACAGGTGTGCTCTTTGGGGCACACCTTTAATCCCAGTGCTCAGGGAGGCAGAGGCAGGCAAATTGCTGTGAGTTCAAGGCTAGCCTGGTCTACAAAAGTCCAGGACAGCTAAGGCTACCCAGAGAAACCCTGTCTTGGAAAGAAGAATATGAAACGATTTTCAAATTTGCAGATCATTTTTGCTCAGGGACTGGGCTAATCTCTGTATTGTTCCAGTTTTAGTATGTGTGCAGCTGAAGCATGACTTTGTAATTTTTAAGCAAAAGAACGTGTCATTCAGTATACTGCTGTAAATTCCATCTTGTCCGCCAGTGTGATACCTCTTAGTTAATCATGTCACCAACACTTCAGAGGCAGGCAAATTGAGTTTGAGGCCAGCCTGGTCTACGGAGCAAGCTCCAGGACGGTCAGGGCTACACAGAAACCCTGTTTGGAAAACCAAAACAACAGCAACAAATCATGTCACCTTGATCAGGGAAACCTTATCAAGTTTCAGTTTTTCTCTTAAAAATGGTGATGAGAAACATTGCACAGCTCGGCTGATAGAGTGCTTGCCTAACATTCTGGAGGCCTTGGACTCCATTTCAGAACTTGGGGTGCTAAGGATCACAAATTTTAGACCAGCTTGGGCAATTTGGAGTCCATCTCAAAAAGGAATAGGGATGTAGCTCAGTGAAAGAGCCCTTGTCTCCAGTGTGAAAGGCTCTCAGTAGGTTCGAGACTCAACTGCAAAGAGGAAAAACCTAAAAAAGCACTTCCCCTCACAGTTCCTGAAGTAAAATTTCAAGAAAGTCTGAAATCTCCTAAAATATGGAAAGAGTGAGCATATTGAATTATGCTGTGTTACCTCCCCAAATGTCACACCTACTAATTCATTTAAGGTAGGTAGTGAAGACACTGCCTTTTCCCAGAGATAAGGCACACTGCTATGAACACAGCAAAGAGAACCATTCACAGGAATGACTGAGTCCAGGGCATAAAGTGGAGCGCAAATGGATTGCCAGTACCCTGGTGCCAGCCTGTGTCACGAGAGGCTGACGGCACTGTGTGGGTAAACTGAGTCAACTGTTGGAAAGGCTGTGGTTGAACCAGAAGATGCGGTTTTTTGGGGTTGCTTTTCAACAGAAAACTGGCTTTCTTTTTTCCCCACAGTGAACTAAAGCATATCCTTAAGACAAAGTAGAAGAAGCATCTCCAGCTTAAAGTCCAGTTAAAGAGATGAGGAAAATGGATGAAAATGTATGTCAGTCATTTAGGAAGAATTTACTCTGAGGGCCATAGCTCTGTTGGGTCCTTACGGTCTAGTGAATGCTGGGTCTATAGCCTTGTTAAAAGATATTGTGAGGTGAGAGTCTGCAGAGGTGACATACTAGGATGAGTGGGCAGTGATAGGACAGGAGATGCTAGTAGATGACTCAAGACCACCTTACTGTATGTTCTGAAGCAGGGGACACAAACTATACCCACAACGGCCAAAACAACATGATTGACAATGTCTGATGTGTGTGTGATTCTCTGAACACTGAATGTTTTCAACCCTGATTCAGAGTAGGAGTTAGATGCATAGCATAGCAAAGGGCTAGAGACAGAAATGAGCCCTTGATAGGCCAGGATAGATACTATTGGGAAGGATGGGGTCAGAGAGTTGAGTTCAAAACAGGTCCTTCCTGTCACTTCTTCCTGTATGTTCTTGCAGTTGGCAGAAAGTGACTTCGCCTCCACCTTCCGGCTGCTCACCGTGTTTGCCTACGGGACCTATGCTGACTACTTAGGTAAATAGGAGCCAGAGCTGTGGAGTTACGGAGACAGGAGAAGGGTAGCTTCTAAAGAAACGTGGAAGAAATTCCTGGCATGCCCTACTTAGATGCCATAAGTGAACCTGGGCAATGTAAGACCATATTGGTGCAGAAAACTTGTAGCAAACTGCTACATGTAAGATTCCTGGCCTTCTTTCCCTTTTCCTAGCTGAAGCCAGGAATCTTCCCCCACTTACTGAGGCTCAGAAGAATAAGCTTCGACATCTGTCAGTTGTTACTCTGGCTGCCAAAGTCAAGGTAAGTGACAGTCCTGCCGCCTACCAGTCCAAAGCCAGAGACATCCTGTTGTACGTCCCTGGGAGTGTGCCCCAGGAGGGCCATTGACCTCGCCCTGTCTAGGTTTGAACTGAAACACCCATTACTGCAGTCATTGGGGCCGATAGTCTATCAGTTTGAACTTAAGTTCTAAGTCATTGTGTCTTGTATGTGGAGTCAAAATAGCCCGTAGGAGACTGATCCTGTCTCATTCACCATACAGAGTTTCAGGCCAGCAAAACCTCAGGGCTAGAACTGGGGTTCTGCTCCTGTAAAGCCAGTGTTGGGTTCTATTGGCTGGAGTAAGATGTGTGTGCCTGTGACATTACATCATTCCCCAGTTGTTAACTAGAATTGAGTCCTGGTGGGTTTTGCTGGAATCAGGCTTGTGGCTGTGGATTCCTCAAAGGTAATGCCAGTTATAATGTGGCTGAATCTAAGTGTTAAACAGTAACTCCAGACTCCTCCTACAATCCCCTGATGTTAAGCTGATCTAGAAAAATAGCCTTAGCTATGGCCAAAGAAATGGCACCAGGAAGATGTCACCGCCCTTTCACTATGCTTTAGGGAGTGAGGCATAGTAGAACATCTGTCTGTCAAGTGTGTTAGGATTGTCTTTCTTGAGACTTTGAAGTCAGAGGCAGAAGGATTAATGTAAGATCAAGTCTAGCCTTTACTATATACTGAGTTCCAAGCCAGCCTGGGCTATAGAATGAGACCCTGTGTCAAAATACCATAAAATGAAAGAAAGAAAAAAAAATTTGTCCTTTGATGATGATGTTTTTGGGGTGGTAATAGGTTTTGCTTTAGAACCAACATTTTCCAGGAAATGGTTTAGGGATAGGCATGGAGAAATGTGGACCTGGGCAGTGGGGAAAAGAGGGAAGAGGATTCTGGAAAGCCGTTCTCTGCTTTTGAACCCCACACATCCTGGTCTGACCCCTGGACCCAGTGTATCCCATATGCAGTGCTGCTGGAGGCCCTTGCCCTTCGTAACGTGCGCCAGCTGGAAGACCTTGTGATAGAGGCTGTGTATGCCGATGTCCTGCGCGGCTCCCTGGACCAGCGCAATCAGCGGCTAGAGGTTGACTACAGCATTGGGCGGGACATCCAGCGCCAGGACCTCAGTGCCATTGCCCGAACCCTGCAGGAGTGGTGAGAACTTGTCAGGCCTTGACCCCTCCTGCCTCATTCAGACAGGAGAGAGCAAGGCTGGGTTAGCCCAAAAGGAAAGAAAGACCAGTGCTTTCCTCCAAAGACTTCTAAGGAAACAGGCCGGAAGGGGCCCTGGGTGCTAAGAGTCTGGGTTATTGGAGCAGCAATTGGGGAAAGGAATGGGGTTCTTAATGGGAAGCTGGTCACTGTCATAGGCTGAATTTAGTACAATGGCACATAGCACTTATGGGCCATGGGTCTCTTTTTCCTTTTCCTCTTTGTATCCCTGTCTAACTTTATTGTGATCTCACTGTGTATCCCAGGCTGGCCTTGAACTCAAAATAGTTGTTCCTCTGCTCCCCAGTACTCATACTAAGGTGTGCAGCGCCACTGCAGAGCGCCATCCGTGCACCACAGCACGCCTCCATGCACGCGCTGCTCCATGCCATGCCTGGCACTCCTAACCTGTTTCTGTTCCTACTCTCATCTTGTTGTTCTAACTTATTTTTATTATTTTTAGTTGTGTGTGGTGGAGGGGTGGGTATGCAGGTGATGGGGGTGCTCACGGGGGCCAGAGGTGGCAGATCCCCTGGAGCCACCTGATGTGGGTGCTGGGAGTCAAACTCGGTTCTCTGCAAAGCAGTACATGTTGTTGAGCCCTGAGCCGTTTCTTCAGCACATCCCCGCCCACCTTGTATCGATCACTCCACCTGCCCCGGGGTGATTGCCGACGAATGCTGCTGTAGCTGGCTCCCAGGCGCCCTGCTGAGGGTTCCCGGCTCAGGCAAGGGTTTTCAGGCCAGCTTGAGTCTTCGATCACAGCCTCTTTCTGCTGACACCCTTCGTCTGCCCTGATTCCCACAGGTGTGTAGGCTGTGAGGTTGTGCTGTCAGGCATTGAGGAGCAAGTCAGCCGTGCCAACCAGCACAAGGAGCAGCAGCTGGGCCTGAAGCAGCAGATCGAGAGTGAGGTAAGCAGGCAGGAAGAAGGGTGAACTACAGCTCCCCAGCCTGGGCACCTGGCCTGTGCACAGGGCTGGGATGTGGCTGAGGTCGACAGATAAAATAATCAGGGCCTGTCAGGTTCTGGAGCCTCCTTGGCTATCCCCTATTCCTTTCATCCTGATAGGTTGCCAACCTTAAAAAAACCATTAAAGTTACAACAGCAGCAGCTGCCGCAGCCACTTCTCAAGACCCTGAGCAGCACTTGACAGAACTAAGAGAACCAGCCCCTGGCACCAACCAGCGCCAGCCCAGCAAGAAAGCCTCAAAGGGCAAGGGGTGAGACCATGAGGGAGCTGCTTGTTTCTGGGTACCCCACTTTTATCTCAGGAACCTGGCTGCTCCACTTGCTTAAGTTGTTTGCATGGGGTTGGGAGTGGGGTTGTCCTCCAGGAATTAGGGGAACCTTTGCATCCTCTCTCTCTCTCTTCCCCTTGCCAGACTCCGAGGGAGCGCCAAGATTTGGTCCAAGTCGAACTGAAAGGACTTGTTTCTTCCCTGGGAATGTGGGGTCCCAGCTGCCTACCTGCCTACCCCTTAGGAGTCCTCAGAGAGCCTTCCTGTGCCCCTGGCCAGCTGATAATCCTAGTCCATGACTTTTCATCTCCTCCACCCCCAAGCATAAGCCACACCTCCTAAGGGAGGAGGCCAGCACAGGTCACGCTATGTTGGTACTGTGTATGTGTTCCATTGCCTCTCTCCCTGTCCTGCCTGCTCTCACCCTTCTTCACTCAGCACTGTTCCTGCCCATTACCCTGTCACTGAGCAGGTTGGCAGGCCTATGGAGGGTGCTGTCTCTTCACCACCCACAGAGGTGTTCTCTACCACGCCTACCCCTGCATGCCTAATCTGCAGTTCCTCCTCGCTCCCCTTGCCTATTGGGCTGCATCTGAAAAGCCATGGGGAAGGGCAGCTCCACTTTCATCCCAGCCTTAGATTCTGGAGCCAGTCTACCATTCTGGGAATCGCTGGACATTGTCATCCCAGAATCCCATCACACTACAGCTGTTTCTTGTCCTCCCTTATCTCTTTGGGCCTGGGAATACTGCTTCAGTGACCCCAGAGCCTGAGAACAGCTATTTTTGAGATGTTAAGAAATGGTTCTTTGTTAGCTAATCATTTTAGGAAGCCAATGGAAATCCTGGAAGGATTTATATCTCCTCCTGTGGCTTTGGTGGGGAAGGAAATATAGATTGTATATTAAAAAAAAAAAAAAGTATATATGAATAGGTCTATATATAACATGACACAGAAATAAATCTATGCGAAATCTATGTACAAAAATGCCAGGAACTGGGCCTCTTCTGTCTTTGATGTTTGTTAACAGGGAGAAGATAAACCCCCAGTCCACTCAACAGCCAAGTGCTGGAAAGTGAAAAGAACCAGACACTGTTGCAGACTCTTGGCTAACAGCCAGGAGGCCTAGACCCTGGACAGATTGCTCCATACCTCAGCCCATGTTGAGAAGTAATGGGCACCTACTGAGCGCCACCATGTCCTAACAGTGGAGATGCAGACTGGCCGTCCCTGTCCCTGCTCAAGGACCTGCAGTGCAGTCTGCTTCCTCTCACCTCACAGAATCACAAGGGGACGTGTTGGTAGTGAACTTGAATTTCCACAGTGAAAGCACATAAAACTATTAGATTTGTTAGTCTCTGTCCCTTTTGTCCACATTAGTTTCCCAAGAAGTGTGTAGGCCTGAGGTTGGCCTGAACACTGCTCGCTTCCTCAAGGTGGGGAGTGCTACTGTGAGGTGTGAAGCGCTGTCTTGAGGGGCCTGCTGGGTCTGCTGTGGCCTGGGCCTGTGCTGTTCTCTAGCGAGGATTTAGGACAAATTCCCTTTATCTCCCCACCCCCTTTTTTTTTTTTTTATCTTTTTTGAGACGGTCTCTCTGTGTAGTTGTGGCTGTCCTGGAACTCACTAGATAGACCAGGCTAACCTCAACTCAGAGATCCACCTGCCTCTGCCTCCAGAGTGCTGGGATTGAAGACATGCACTGCCATGCCTGGCTTTAGACAAGTTACTTTTAACTGCTCCTAAAACTAGCAGTCATTGGACCAGAAAGTTGGGGTAGTCCGCTGTTTTAATTTGTTTGTTTTGGGGTAGTTATTACTGTTTTGAGACAGCCTCATGTGTTCCAGGCTGGCCTTGAACATACTGTGTAGTCAAGGGTGACCTTGAATTTTGGATCCTCCTGTCTCCAGCAGAATGCTGGGATTGCAGGTGTGCACCACTCAACCAGATTTAGTTGACAGTCTTGGTCTCTCAGCTTCTCTAGATAAGCTGATTGTTTCTCTTGCCTCTGAAAGAAACATTTTTGTCCCACACCCTCCAGTGTGTAAAGAAGTGCCAGTTTCTGGTGTTTTGAGCCAGCCCTCTGACCCCTACCCATGCCTCAGTTCCTCCCTTGAACTTGATTTCAGATTACTACTTCTATGTTGAACAGCTCTAAAATCTCAAATTGGGTTTGAACTGCCGGCTTCATTCCCGAGGAAGAGGGGTCATCTATATCGCTCAGGACACTACTGCAGTGTGGCGTTGATGCATCAAGAGACTTCCTGCTGGGCAGAGCACAGGGAAAGGGAGAATTGTTGCTGGGGAAATAGTGAGGGCTCCGTTGTTTTTTGTTTCTGTTTGATTTTGATATTTCAAGACAAGGTGTAGCCCTGTGTAGGGGACTGTCTTTAAAACTCTTGTGTAGACCAGACTGGCCTCCAACTCTCAAGGAGATGCTTGCCTCTGCTTCCCAAGTGTTTGAGTTAAAGGCATGGCACAGTCCTGTTGAGGGCTCAGTTTTTAAGCATGAAATTTGTTCAGAGGTTGGGGATTCTATGTCCTCTAAACAAGAGCCCTACCACCGACATGCGTGCTCGTATGTGCTGACCCCTCCTGTGTTGCAGTTGTAAATGTCCAGCCCTAAATCATCATGAAAGCCCAGTGTTCACACACATGAAATGTGACAAGTGATTAAGCCAGGGTCTGGAGGGACACATGGCTCAGTGGATCACGTTTGCTGTGCAAGCTCGAAGGCCTGAGTTGAGAACCCCAGAGTGCACTGTAGATTGTGGTAGGCTGTGGCTGTAATCCCAGTGCTTCCAGGAGAGGGGAAGTGGAGGCGTGCCTGCAAGCTCCTAGGCCAGCTAACAGGGCTTACACCATGGGGAAGGAGGGAGTGTGGTGACGGAGACCCTCCTTCAAACAAGGTGGACGGTGAGGGCTGGCCCCGAAGGCCCTCTGACCTCCCAGACCACATGGAAAGACTTAAAAAGGTTAAACCAGTCAGAGTCAGTGGCACATCCTTCCAGCCTGGCAGGCTGAAACAGAAGGCTCTGAAGTTCAAGGCTGGGGGGAGATACATATTAAGGTCCTCTCAAACAGACAACACAATGGAGCGGATTGGTGGCGTCTTTACCTACTGCTCATAAGACCGTGGCTGTTCCGTAATACCATCACCCTAGGTAATGAGTACCTACCCCCTTGAGCTGGCAAAGAAGGCTCAATGCTTGACTCCAGGTCCAACAAAACCATGAGTGTGATCCCTGAGCCCCACATGGAGTGATAGAAGTACTAACTCCCACAGGTTGTCCCCGGATTTATGTGTGTGTTGCATAAATATTTAAAAACAAGTTCTGAAAACAGAATAGCCAATGGGTACACACAGATTAGAGTATGTCTACTCAGGTGTTTTTTTTTTTTTTTCCTTTGGCTTGCTATGTTTGTATTTTAACGTGTATGCCTATGTCTGTGCACCACATGTGTGCCTGGATGGTGCCGGCAGAGGCCAGAAGTGAGCATTGGATCCCCTGAAATGGAGCAACAGAAGGTTGTGAGCCAATATATGGGTGCTGGGAATCAAACCCAGGCCTGTGTAAGAGCGGCCTGTGCTCTCTGGAGTTGTCTCTGCAGACCCTAAAAATCTTTTGAGATTTTTAAAATAAAATAGAGATGCGCTTACAAAGCAGTTGGTTGCCATAGGTTTTTGTCTGTTTGTTTGAATCCTTAGTTTTGGTTTTACTCTGTTGAGATTGCTCTCCTCCCTACCCATTCCCTGCTTTTAAGTTTCTTTTGGGTTTTAGAGTCAGCTTTCTTATAGCCCAGGCTGGCCTAGAATGTCTGTGAAGCTGAAGGTGACCATGAATTCCTGATTTTCTTGCTTCTGCTTCTAAGTGCTGGAATTATAAGCATGGACCATCAGACATACCTGCAGCTGGTATTTTGTAGAATTTTTGGTTTTGCCTTTTGAAACAGGATCTTGCTATATTACAGAGACTGACCTGGAACTTTGTATCTAGTATTTTATAAAATACTAGATAGAGATCAGAAATTCCCAGGGGCTGAGGAGATGGTTTCAGTGGTAGAGAGTACACACTACTCTTGCAAAAGAAAAATGAAACAAAACAAAACAAACAACAACAAAAAACGTTGACACTCAGGAGGCAGAGCAGGTGGATCTCTGTGAGTTCAAGGCCGGCCAAGTCTACAAAGCAAGTCCAGGACAGCCAAGGCCACACAGAGAAACCCTGTCTGGAAAAACAAAAAGACCCAAGTTGGATTCCCACTTCCCACTAGATGGCTTACAAGCGCCTGTAACTTCAGCTCGCTGAGGACCTGATGGTTGGTACTTGCATTGACTAAAGCCCACACAGATGCACACATATCCACAATGATAACAATGCAAGAAAATCTGCTGAAGCCCACACATGAAAAGATTACTAAAACTCATAACTGCAGGGAAATTTTCTTCTGCTTAGGCGAGTAGTCTAACAAGTGGGCAGGACAGAGTTTAGGGCTATAGAAAGCAACAAGCCAGCCTGACCTTAGAGGCCCAAGGCAGCGTGTTCGCTAGGCATGGTGGTGTGTGCCTGCAATCCTGGCACTTACAACACTGAGTAGAATTGCTGCAAGTTTGAAGCCAGCCTGGGGTACATGGCACCAGGCTCCCCAGGTCTATAAGCAAGGCCCTGTCACAAAACAAAATTCCTCAGTGTATTGTCTTTGGTTGTATGGTAAGAAACTGAGCTGAATCCTCAGGGGTTTCTCACAAGGCTACAATTAAGGTGTGAGCTAGTGGGCTGTGAGTGTGACTCAGTGATGGAGCACTTGCCTGTCATACCTCTCCAGTACCATAAAAGGGAAATGTGTTAAACGAGGCCAGGGTTCCCTCAAGGCTCAAATGTGGCAGATTTGCCTCTAGACTCAATGGTGACCAGTGGTCAGTGACCACTCAGGTAGTCCTCACCATCATGGCGAGAACCAGAAAGACTACACCAGCAAGATGAAGTCACAGTGAGCGATAGCCCATCATTTCCACCACTGGGCAATCCAGTCTGTGCTCAAGAAGGCAGGACATTTTTATACAGGATGAGCCTGGCAGAAAGTAGGGAGCATTGGTAGCCATGATGAAAACTGCTCACCAATGGCAGTATTTCTGTGGACCGCCCCCATCAAAATCCCTATGTAAGGAAGGCATGGTGGTGCACACCTTTAATCCCAGCACCTGAGGGGCAGAGGAAGGTGGCTCTCTGAGTTTGAGGCCAGCCTGGTCTACAGAGTGAGTTCCAGGACAGCCAGGCTACACAGAGAAACCCTGTGTGTGTTGGGGGAGGGATCTCCCCTAGCTCCCCACAAAAAAATCTCTGTGCCAGTCCCATCAAATTAGTATGTGTATGTTTTCAAAGGCACTTTGAAATGGCTTAGAAATGATGGGTAAACCTCCCTCAAGTTGTCCTCTGACTTCCATCAGCTCAGAGCACATGGCACACACACGCCCACACACGTCCACATGCACACTAAATGTGTAAGAATCTCCAGAATGTGTTTTCTCCGCCGTCCCTGGCTCTCAGTTCTAAGCGCTGAAGTGCTGGGTATGAAGCACTCTTGCCCAGATTAACAACAACATGGAACTGAGGGCTGATACTTTAGGGCTCTGGAGAGCGGGGAAAGGCTGGGCCACCATCAGGGAAGGATGAGCAAAGGTGAAGATGAGTACAGGGCAAGTGAGCAGGACAGGACTTGTCTTCTTGTGGTGTTAAGTGTGTGGTTATAAGAAGGCTTACGTGCTAAGAAGTCTTGGATGAGCTAAAATGTGGTTGACCAGGAAGCCACATCTTACCTGAGGTAAAAGGAAAAAAAAAAAAAGGATATGACTTTTAATAGAGGCTGAATAGGCGACGTTAACTGTCAACCCACTGCTCCTCTAAATATGAAATATGTGGGTTTGGATACACAGCCCTATCCAGTCGTTTGTGTTTGTTTGGTTTTGTTTTTGTTTTGTTTTTGTCATTCAGTTGGTGAAAATATATTGACTGACAAGCCTGAAATACAAAACATGTTTGTGTTGCGTATTCTGGGCATTGGAATCTGGGGTGACTGTTCGTCTTTTGCCTGAATCTATTTTCTGGGGCTGGAGAGATGACTTGGTGGTGAAGAGCACTTGTTGCTTTTGCAGAGGACCCAGTTTGGTTCCCAGCATCCATGTGGCCTCTAACAACCACCCGTGCAGCCAATGTCCTCTTCTGCATGCACATGGCACACAGACATACACGCAAGCAAGACACCCTTAGACATAGTAATTCATCTTTAAGGTGGGGGGGGCTGCCAACAGGCATGTCACTCTGCAGTTCTACAGCCCCCGTTATCAGACTTAGCAG